TATGAATATATAATATAATATAATATATAATAAATCAACAATAACCTCCAGATGAGCTGGATGATGATGATGATGCCCAGCATCAGGCTCAGCCATGTAAAACAACGAGTGTTGCTCAGAAGCAGGTGTGTATGTACCTTCGCGGTGGGTTGGGTGGGTGGTGGGGTCATCAGCGGTGGAGGAGGGCCGCTGTTGCTCAGCAGGGTGTGTGGAGGGGTGCAAAACTGGGAATCTGGCGTGTCGGGTGAGGAAGGAGAGTACGCTGACTGAGACACGGCAGGCACCTGGTGAGCTGATGTAACACTTCCTCCTCCTGATGGAAATAAACATACATTTTGCAAAAGTGGCAAACTGGTTCTGATCGCTTTACATGTCAGTTAGGTGAGATCTTCCTATCTGAATCATAGACTGTAAATAAAGATGGACGACGCGTCTCCACTTCCTTCCACTATAGAAAAGTGAGTGAAAAGCATCTCAGTATGGCCACTGCCATCTTGAGTAAATGACGTCATTTGGAGCCCGAGTCTGCGCAGTAGAGATTCGTTTGGAGCCAGAGTCTGCGCAGCAGAGATTCGTTTGGAGCCAGAGTCTGCGCAGTAGTGTCGTGAGGTGGAGCCGCGGTATCAAACTCCCATCCAAACTCCCGCAGACCCAATCAACCATAACGACACGCCCCGTTTTTATAGCATCAAATTACTAGCTAAAATCAAACTTATCACAAAAACTAACAATTTAACATATATTAGCGTGATAACAACTACCTTAAATGACCAAAACCATCTTTCGGAAAATTGTATTGGAAGTGTAATTTATTTTTTTATTTTGACTCAACTCCCATTCGTTTACATGGAGAGGGCGGGGTTTATGACCTGTACTGCAGCCAGCCACCAGGGGGCGATCAAAGAGCCCGCAGCTTCACTTTTCAGGACGTGTGAGGCACACCCGGTCTGAATAGGCGGTTCTTGGCCAGAATTAGCTACAAATGTGACACTAAAGACTATATGACTGTGTAACTCACCTCTGCCTCTACGTCCTTTGATCGTTTTTGCTCCTCTGCCTTTAGGGGTAGGAGGGGGCAACTCAATCTCTTCCTGGGGCATCTGGGCAACCTTCTGTAAGAAGACCTTCTCCAGAGACTGTGCCATCAGTACAATGTCATCTGTAGGCTGAAAGACAATTCACATTATACACTTCTGTAGAAAACTTTAACAGCGCCAACAGTTGCTGGACCGATGATGATATGTAAATGTACACTACCATTCAAAAGTTTGGTTTTGGAAGATTTGGAAATTCTTATGCTCACCAAGGCTGCATTTATTTGATCAAAATACAGTAAAGCTGTAAAATATTATTGTAATTTATAAAAAGTCAATCTGAATATATTCTAAAATGTCATTTATTTCAGTGATGCGCAGCTGAATTTTCAGCATCATTACTCCAGTCTTCAGTGTCACAAGATCCTGCAGAAATCATTCTAATATGCTGATTTGCTGCTCAAGAAACATTGCTGATTCTTATCAATGTTGAAAACAGTTGTGCCGTTTCATATTTTTGTGGAAACCATGACACATTTTTTTCATTCTGTGGTGAATAGTAAATTCAAAAGAACAGCATTTATTATTTATTTAATATTTTGTAGCATTATAAATGTATTAACACATGCATGGTTCTGACATCTGTTTAAACATCGTATTTCTACTTCAAATAAGCACTAAATGATGCATGTTCTCCATATGTCACCAATAACCATTTGAATATCTCACATTTCATTTTAATGCTTAATAACACAGCAATTATATGAAATGACTATGTTTCTGCTCTAACCTTTAGGAAATGCCTAACGAGCACTGCGGGATGTTTCCATGGCAACACACACCTTATTGTAGATGTAACAGTTGGTGAACATGGAATTGAAGTCCTGCAAGCATTCGCTGCCGCTGCGGTAGTAGTTATTCTCCAGTCGTTTCTTGATTGAGCCCATGTCCATCGGCTGTTTGATGATCTTATGGTAGTCCTTAAAGCAAAACAGGAAATAGTGTCATTGGAGATCATATTATCTGCGCATAAGAATATAATAGGCAAGGTCAAGGTTTGTAGACTTGCTGTCAGCCTACTGGTAATACGAGACGCTCTGTCACAAGACCACAAAAACATGCTGAAGACTTCTAATTGGACAGTCTTTGTGCATTAATGCAATACCAAAGAAAAAATAAAAGCAAAGGTTGAAAGTTGTGAAGGTTGGTTATAGTTGTGAATTTAACTATTTACTCTTGGAGTCATATTTAGATCCCAATATCACTACAACTGAACCATATAGGGCCTTACAAATTAAAGGGGTCATATGATGTTGCTAAAAAGAACATTAT